GCCACAAGGAGAGGAACTGAAACACAATTCCACGCCTCAGAGCAGGGCGTGTGGCCAGCGGTGTGCACTCATGCTCAAGTATTCACCAGCTGCAGAGTTATGAGCTGTTTCACCCCCGTATTCGAATGAAGAGGCATCATGTGGTTTCTTAAGGTCAAAAGGAAAGAAGGTGCCATTTGACCAAAAACTTTGTTCTTGGAAAAACACTCCGCTTATTTTCAGCAGGAAATCGGCCTTTTTTTCCCAGATTCATACCCTCTGTTTTGTGAATTAACCTAATTCGTTTCTACTGCCCCTACTTGTCTACATTAAAGCTTTAAAATTAGATCAAAGATGAAAGACAGCTAGCTCTATATCCCAGGAATACGCGAGACCTGGAATGCATACGAATGAGTTAAGCATTATAAGAAAAACCCAGAGAGACCAGCATTAGCAGGTTGTGCTTGAACAACTGCCAGCTTAAGAAGATGTGTGTGCCGTTCGTCTGCATTTCAACAGGATATTAGATCCTGCCTTTTCGCGTGCCGGTGCTGGCGAGCACACCCGCTCCGCAAACCGCGAATGACTAGCGACTCTCCAGCGTTTCTCCAGCACCAGATGGAAACAGCGACTCGGAAAGAGAGATGCATGAGAACTCACCCAAATAAAGAGCTCAAATTATTGCACACAAAAGAGGGCGGCACAGTGGCTCAGTGACCAGCATTGCTGCCCTACAGCGCCAGGAGCCTGGGGGTAGTTCGGTGGTACTGGGGCTCAGGATCTGCACCTGAGGCTGGAAGGTTGCCGGTTCAAATCCCATGGCCGGCAGAGGAATCCTACTTCATTGAGCGCCTGAGCAAGGCCCTTAACTCCAACTGCTCCAGGGGTGCTGTATTAATGGCTGACCCTGCGCTCTGACCCCCAGCTTCTCTCCCTGTCTGTGTGTCTCATGGAGAGCAAGCTGGGGTATGTGAAAAGACAAATTCCACATGCAAGACATTTTTATATGGTCAATAAAGTGATCTTATGTTATCTGTGAGGAGTTTGCATGTAGTCCCATCTTTGACATACATGTACATGTTTCCTGGAAGATGTTTTCTCCAAGAATGCAAAGTCACGCTGGCAGGTTAATTGGTTTCTGCGGGAAGACTGGTCCTTGTGTGAGTGAGTGTGTGTGTGGATGTCTGTGGTGACTCCACAATGGACTGGCGTACTGCCCAGGGTGCACCCTGCCTTGCACCTGTTGCTTGCTGGGAGAAACTACAGCTCCCTTACAACCCTGCATTGGATAAAGAGGTTGCAAAATAGATGGATGCCAATGTGATTTACTCCTTCAAAGATGGATAAAATGGGTATTGAGCTCCTCAAGTTCCTCAACCTGCATTCCTGAGGTCTTTGAGCCAAGTGTAATATCTCCCATGTTTAAATGTTATGCAGATGTTTCCATCACCGTACAAATTCATATATTAAAAGTGGAATACTGAGAGTCCCGAAGGCAAAACCGATTTCACAATTATTACTAACCATGAATGTGAAATGGAAGAAGGAGATTTAAAAAAAAAACTAATCTAAATGCTCTCTTGGAGTAGATGAAGTAATATTAAAACACTCAAAGCAAATATATGATGTGATTACAAAGAGAAGCTTTTGTATGCATTTTGCATTTGAATAACACTTATTTTATCCTGTATTAGAAATCAGGAATTTAGTGATTCAAAACTTACACTGTAGTGTTACACCCACTAGAGGAGAATAAAAAGCTGGACTGGTTTTTAATTCTAGCATTGAAACTAGTTTTAAAAAGAACTGTGCACATTCTGAATATAGTGCTTACAAAGCTACATACACCTTTGCATGGATTTCTATCCTCCTGCTGTACACTTCCTTATCAGCTAACCGCGAGGCCTAAGACTCGATGCACCTCGGCCCGATGCACTTTTTACATGGTTGACCATGTTTTTTTTCTTTCACTGCTACATACTTATTGTTCTGGTTGTATTATGCTGTAATGAACTGCCGACATTGTGTGGTGTTGTCTGTTGTACTGCGTCATCTGCTGTACTGTACGTCCTGAGAGATCAGAGCGAATAAGAATTTGAATCTACATGCACATATGGCAATAAACTCCTCTACTACTCGATTGTTTTGGGGGGCAGGAACAAACAGGGGTGCTCTTCTTGCTCTGCTCGATGAGGTGCTTGTTCCAGCATGAAGGAAGAGCAGGTACAAAGCCGGGACTCAGATTAGTGTTACTGATGGGCTGAGGCAATGGAATACTAAAAAACCTCCTTTAAACTGCCATGGCCTCTCTCTTTGCCTTCCTAATATACCCTCTTCACAGAGTTTTGAGTTTATTAAACTTGGTTTCCTTAACATGCTGCAGTTCTTAATCATTTTCTGAAGTGCTTCCTTTCTCCTGCAAAAAGTAACCACAATTCTCATTCAGAGCACTGATTCACACACGTTGTTTTACTTCCTCTTGGGACAAACCTGTATTTGAAGCACAGTCTCTGTAAAACGTTTGCCACCAGTTCTCTCGTCATTTCTCACCCAAAATTTAAATTCCCCACAATAACCACCTCTTACTGTACACTTGCTTACCTTACACCTAACACACCCATTCGACTGTTTACAAGTCTGACTCTTATCAATTTCTCTAGCTTATGCCTGACTACTCTATAAGAAATACTATGATACACCTCAGCCACCTCCATCATCACTCTCTCCAGAGTGCTGTGTATCCAATGTTGGATTCAGTGTAATCACGCTGGAATCGTGTCAGTGATTCCTTTTAAATAGTAATCGCCTGCGAGTGCAGTGGTTTCTATTGTATTGTGTCCTTAGGTACAGCCCCGTAAGTACCTAGTCCTTTGGTTTCACTCCTGAAGTTCTTTTTTCATCTCCATGCAAGAACAAAGATCACAAAGGAGAAAAAGGCCATTTGCCACCCCCCCATTTTAGTTTTAGTGTTTCTGAATCTCTCTGAAGATCCCTGCCCCAAGCCAACTGGCTTCCCTCTCAATTAGATACAAGACAGATGCATCGCTCCTAAACTTAATCGCATAGTGAAGCTGACAATCAAGTATCCCTGTTTCAGGAATGGTTCACCTTCCACTAATTCTGTATGTGAGCCATGGTGATCTAAATTAACTTTCTGGCTTTGATCATAATTGAAATGAACTTACCCAGTTGCAGCCTTGTGCATACAAATGAATAATATGTGCACAGAGTGATTGGGAGGCTAATTGGAACGCCGAGTTGTAACAAACCAAAAATAATCAATTGCAGGCAATTCTCCCTTCCTAACCTACCAATAAACCAGATAAGGTAGCAGTTCCCAAGACCTGAGCCTACTGCCTTTTAAGCCCACATAGTCATTTGATCTTCATTCAAGCCAAGCTCTTCATTAAGTCATTTAATCATTCAGTTTCTCCCTTAAACTTTAGCCAACAGAGCTTAAGGGCTCTGAATGTCCTAGAGAAACTGTCCTCACAGCTGCAGATCCAGCTGTCCCTGCTGTCCAGAGCAGGTGACACCAGCACCCAATGGACCGTGGAGGTCCAGTTGTTTCTGCTGCCCAGAGTGGGCGACACCAGCACCCAGTGTACTGTGGTGGTCCTGTTGTCTCTGTTGCCCACACCAGGGGAATCTGCAGGTCCAGCTGTTTCTACTGTCCACACCAAGGGACACCACCACTCAGTGGACTGTGCAAGTCCAGCTGTCTTTGCTGTCCACAGCAGGGGACAGCACTCCAGAGAGATAGACAAACCAATGGTATGTTGAGATTCCACCACTCTATACAGGTCCTTTCCTCAGGTAAACCCCAAATTCCCCACCACTGACCTGCTTTAAAGAAAAGGTAACTTGAAAACGAAAACATCCACGGTTGGTTTTTGTTATTCCCTCCAGTCTTGCTTCCCTGGGGGTTGTTATCTGACGATAGCAAAGTATCTAGACGGCGGTCCGTTGCATCTATCAAAATGTAAACTAAAAATTAAAATCAAGTGGAAGAGAGCCGTGATGAATGCAAAATAAAAATCTACAAAGCTGAGAAAAGCCTTCTCAAATACAAACAGCTTCTGAAAGCTCAAACTGAAGCGATATCTAAACGTCTAGGCATGCTATTATACAGTAATCTGAGCCCATGTCTCAGTCACAGGTAATAACCCCAATGGCTTCCTTTATTCACATTTTCTCCTCCATTTGCAACTATTACTGCAAAAATTAACATATGTCAAGTGCTTCAAAGCATGTTGCATGAAATACAAGAACTATAAAGGAGAGCCCAGAACCTCCCACAGCAGCTGGATTTCAAAGAACGTTTCACGGCACCACACCTCACACTTATGCGCTTAGTTTTAACTTGAGGTCGAGCAAGGTTTGGGATTGCTTACTTGACTCCTCTTACAAGGATCTTCATGTCCGAGGTCATACTTGAAATAGCACTACCGTAGAGGAAAAAAGTCCAATTGCAATACGCCTCTTGGTTACACCCATTTCTGCAGGGAAAGCTCGGGATCAAGAGTCAGAATCCTTGAATGCTTTATTGGTGCTCATCAGTCACATAGGCACAGGGCTTTCCTTGTCCTGTCCCAGTGACCCACGCTCGGTGTTTTTTACCTGGACTTACGTTTAGTAAATTAAAACCTGACAGGTCCAAAAAAAAAAAACAAAGTTATTTAAACACAGGATTTATTAACCAAAATACAGCTGGAGCCACTAAGGCATAGACTGGGAAGCTCTGGCCAGAGAGAATCGAAGTCAGTTCCAAGGCTGGGCACATCAGCAAGGCTGACTGTGGTCTGGTACAGCTCCCAGCACTTAATGTAGTGTCTTCAAATGAAAACCAAAATAATCTTCAAAAACGTTCAGTGTCTCGTTTTGCCTAGAATAAAATATGACGTACTTGGAATTCATACAGAACTTTGGATATAAAAGTAATGGGGAAAAATATATTTATCACACAGAATTTGATCCTGCAAAATATGCAATTTGAATGCCTGCATTAAGAAAAACAGCCATTGTATTTTTCTTCTTTTATTGTAATACAGCAACAATAAATGTCAGTTTTACTCATAATAAAAAGTGGCTGTGGAAAACCACTGTCAGACAGGATTATTCTCAGCAATTGTAACTCGTTTAGGCCAAAAGGCCAATAAACATGTAACTACCCCTATTACAAATAGTATGACAGATTATCTGAATTATAACATAAATATAAGGGTAAGTGCTTCAGGTTACAGAAACTGTGCACTGTACCATAAAAACTAAACTCCAGTATAATTATCTAGGACAATTACAGGTATGACACACTTGGGAAGAGAAAGTGCAAATTTACATATAAATAGATCAAAGGAAGAAAGGAACAGATTCACATAGGAGGCTTTGGAAAATATACATGCATAACAAACAAATTTTTGTACGACCAACCACCTTAGGTCCATTACCAAAGACCCTGTAAAATGTACTTTGCTAATTAGCTGCTTAAAAAACTCTTTTGTACTTCCTGCAACAGTGCTTCTGCCTTTTCTTACACTTGATCGCACATTAAAACTAGGTATTCAAAAGCTTTATAAAAGCTGACAATCTTCTACATGCAGTTACCAAAAGCAGCAGGTTTTACATTAAAACAAACAGAGATAGTCTCAATGGCTGATTTTTCTCTATTTCACTGAAAACAATATGCAAATATTGTTTATGCCAGTACAAAAAATAAGTACATTTGCAAAAGATTACCTTCGATTCTGTACATCGGCTTATGATTGAAAATTGAAACAGGACAGAAACGGGTTAAGCAATTGTGAATGTAACAAAGGTAAATAGAAAAAAATCCTTCATTCTCACAATAGATAATATCTATCTGAGCTTATGTTAGACAATACAAGATTAATTTTAGTACCATCACAATCGGGTGAACCTATTCCTACTGCAGGATACAAACAGAGGCTCGCAGGGAACACCTCTGTTATATGAGGTGAGTTGTAGATCGACTGAAGGTGTGATACTTCCTTTCAAACATCGATGAAAGGTTGACCATTGAAGGAGAATGGGTTCCCTACAAAAACAAAAACACACAATAAAGAGGACCGCAAAACAGAGGATGTCAAAATTATTGGAATATCTCCTCAGGTTGGTTTTGGAAACATTCAGCTTTCAGTTTGTAAACCCTTCACTTCCACAGCTTTAAAAATAAGAAGGGCCCAAAGAGCCATCACTTAACAGCTATGGTGCATGAACATACAGCGTATACACCTTCAAAATCAACAAATGCCAAGAGCTGTAGTCAGTGACTAAACAAAGCAATATGAAAGACAGACCTCCAAACAGAAATTAAAAGCATAGCAAAATATATTCTCCTTCAAATCTCTACACCCACAACAAGAAATGGTCTGAAGAGGGTGAATGCCCACTCACACTTCTCCAATTTCAAAGCTGTCTGAGATGCATTTATTTAAATAAGTTTTGAGTACATTTGCTTTTGTAGAGCACCTTGAGATGCACACATGAAAGATGCTGAATACATGAATGATGATTATGTAGGTTGAAAGGGCAGATTGAGTGAATTTTAGACTCTAAGCAGTTTTCACTATTGAACTATCAGAGTTAACAGGATTGTATGAATGCATCCAATGTTCGTTTAGTTCCTTGTGACATAATAAACAGAAAAATAACCTCAGTTTACCAGAAAATTAACCCACGTCCTTTGTGAGCTTATTTATTAGAAAGTTATATTCATCCAAAACACCACCACCAAAACACCACCTTTCCCCACGTAACAGTGCAACAGTTGTCTAAAGTAAGTCCCTGTTTCCAACTATTCTTGCTACCACTAGGCTTTTAAAAGTGTAGAAAGTGGCTATTGTGGAAATTTGCTTTAGGGTTTGGTTCATTATCCAGGCACTTTAATATACTTGCAGCACCTTGTACAAACATCAAATCTACAGTATCAGGTGAAAAACATGGTATCATTGCAATGACCAGTGGTGAAATCTGACTACTAAAATTTATGAGATGAATACTTATTTTGAGTTCTAGAGAACACCGATGTGTTAAAAGATTGTAAAGTTCTATTTAAGTACAAATAAGTGGATTCTAGTGGAGGGACACGCCATTAGCTTTAGTACAAACCCACGAAGAAGCCGATCAGTTTAGTATAGTAAAAGTGCTTCCTGGAAGAATGCAAATCGAGTCTGGAGAAAAGGAACACATGCCCCAAACCTAACCCAAACCCTAACGCGTCTCGCTAAAGCCCAGCACCAGTGAGAACTTCCACACAGCCATTCGTCTCCAAGGTGAAGCGTGCAGTGTTAAGCCACCCAAGGGCCAGGCCCCCTGCTGGGGGCGCAATGCTCACTTCAGCCACCGGCACTACAAGAGAGTCTCCCTCTGGGAGCCCTGCAGCCGGTGCTCGGGTGTGGCAGTCAGGGGCCCTGGGGCGCTCGGCTCACTGGGGGAGGCGTCCGAGGAGTAGGGCTGGAGGACGGGATCGTGGCTGACGGGGGTCCTGATACAGATAGGGACTCGGGGCCTGGAGCCCGGAGAGCTCCCGTCTAGGGAGTTGGAGCGCTGCACGTTGGCGTGCCGGGCTGAGCAGCTGAGGCTGAAGGTAGAGGAGGAGCGCGCAATCTACAGACACGGGGACGGGAAGGAACAAAAATCAATTTCCCTTAATGGGAACGAGGAGCGGTTTAACAGCGAAAATCCTCTAAAAAATGGTAGGAAGTTACATTTTTTCAGGATTTATTTATGTGCAACCTTTGTTTTAAACAGAACTATAAAAAATAGAAAATTTAAAACTGCCTTACATCATCAAAAAAAAGTGTGGTTTCAAGTGAAGTGTAACTGGGCATCTCCTACTCTAATGTCATGCGCTATTCAATTCAATGCCTATTCATTTTTTGTCCCAGTGGAAAAAAGGGAAAACTATTAAATCTAGAACTAAAGTATTGGAGCCTGTAATTGCAGGCTGACACCAAGGCTAATGAAAGACTGCAGCAGTGAATGAAAACAAGAGCAATTGTACCATCAAGCTCTCCGTACACGGTCGCTCTTAACACAAAGAAGCTGAGCCACCTCTGAGGGAACCTATAATGTTACAGTTGTTGAAAAAAAATCATTTATATGGAAACAGCTTTTTTTTTTTTTAAACGAACCAGGCAGGGCATGAAATTTTCTGCTCTCAGAGGAAAAAGGCCTGGCAAATCGTTTTGGCACAAATCAGTTAGAAGTGTACTCAAGGCCACTGATATTAATCTGTCTCCCTAGATGAGCCTGGTTATAATATATCTGTGTTGGTGACCGCACCGCAGACTAAATCTCTGAATGACATACACCAGCCACTGCTGGCTGACAAACCCATGCCCCTTTCATTACAAACTCAAGCACTATTATAAACTTCAGGGCTGAAACGACAACTTTGCAAAGCCAGCTTTGAACTTCCTTCGCTACCCAGACTTCCAAGCCTATATAATAGTTAGACATATCAGCTAATGCAATGTTTTGGACTGAGAACAGCGTCACTTCAGCAGGAGTTGCTGATGTCTTCTGACAGCTCACTACTATCACAATGGGTTGGCTGGTTTGGTGGGGCAGCTAAAATCAGTCAGGAAATGGATCAGGCGCTTACAGCCAGTGATGACATGCTTGCCTGGCAGCCGCCTCCATAATTCTCCAAGCCAGAAGTTGGGCTCTTGCCATCAGGAGTGCTGGTCACCATGAAGGCCCTCTGGATCACTCTCTTCGGGGTTTTGGTGAAGGAAAAAGCTCTAGTAACCTAAAAGAAAAAATGAACATCACGGATTCTGGTTCAAGTTTTAACTCTTCCACTGCTATGCCCTTCCTATGACGAACTTTGATGTGTAGATCACATAGTTCCGTCCAGATATTCAAGACATGTTAAATTTGCATAAATAAATTATGCTGGGTATGCGTCGGTCTCACTTAAGATCCATTTACCTTCTTCGATGTCTTTTTGATTGCTCTTGATGCTCGGCTCAGCGTGCTGTCCACATCTTTAGTGTTGACTTGCACCGAGTCGGGATCAGTGCAGTGGATCAGATCTTCCTGTTTACAATAAAACGGAACAGGTGTAAACAGGTGTAAACTGTTTGGAAAAAATCTTCTGGTTTTGATCCAACATAGGTTTCGGTGCCAAAGCACAACACTTGGAGCGCTGGTGCCCAGTCGAGACAAGGCTGTACTTCTTGAGATTCCAGGTTTGGCTGAAATGTTGCACCAATTAGGAGTGAACTGTGGTACACACTGCCACCCTGTGCTTGATCCAAGCTAGTACTGCAAGGACAAACCACTCCACTCTTTAAAGGCTATTATTTTGCTATTGTAAATTAGCACATTTTCATCTGTCACTCATGAATGCACATTTTAATTACTGTATTAAAATACAGTGACAGAGCAAAGACTTGGAGAGCAGATACAACGAGATGAAAAAGATAAAGAGATGAAGTTAAATTCTAGCTTCACTTTTAATAGCCCGACTTTTTGAACAACTAATGGACAATTTAATACAATTAAACACTAAAAAGACATGCCAGTAACCAATTGTTTGTTACATACTATGTATTTTACGTCCTAAAATAAATGTGAACCATTTTAGCCCATGAATTCATCACCATAAAAAATTAATAAGACAATCCTCACTGATAACATTAAGGATATCTAATATTTATATGACCTCTAATGGTTTCTGAAATACAAAATTATATGCAAAAACATGGTAATGGAGATCTGTGGCAATGCGGAAAGGCACTCAAGCCCTCTGCTCCTGCTCTTCGTAGTATGAAGCCACACTCACCGCGTCTGCTTTACAAATGGTGTTGGCTATGTGCCTGCACAGCATCTTGAGCCACTCGGCCTTCACAATCTCCTCCCCCGTCATCTGGAAACTGAACAACAGGTTGTCCTGTTCGGTCGGGGGGTGCACCACGAGGGCGAAAGCGTTGCAGCAATCTGCCCGACACAAACAAACCCACCAACATGAGCGCAAACTTGGGAACGGTGCGTGTACGGCAGCATTCGCACAAAAGCTTTTTTCTACAAAAAAAATGCGGAACTGGATTTATTGCGAACTCTCTCAAAATAAAGAAAAAAACATTGATTTCACAACCCAAAGCAGCTAATTAACGATCTTTGGGCCAGATTTGCCACCTGGTTCTGTGGGGGGGGGGAATCACTGAGGCAAAGAGGGTAAAACAAGCTTTCCCCTGCCAACACCCCAAAGTGGAGAGAGAATGGAAAAGCATCCCATAAGCTTGATGCTGCAGCGTTAATATTAGGGATGTAGGTAGGTCAGTCTGTAATTGCAGAGTAGGTTAAAATTCTGTTTTCACTGAGGATGTAACAGCTCCTTTAACTTGCTATTCATTCACATGGCAATTGAAAGAGGGTGAAACTGAATATACTCAGGCCCTTTTCAGAGATCCTGGAGCATCTGCTTCCCTTTATATTAGACCCATTATCGAAGCCAGAAGACGGATTTACAAGTTACATTGCCGTTCAAAGGCATTTACTCCATTATAAGTATGACTGAATCAGGAAACAGCCTCAGGACAGTGGAGGAAAACACTGAGGCACCTGTGCTGCACACGGCGCTCGATCCTGCACCTACCTTCCGTCTCCCTCAGGTCTAGGACCTTTCTGATCTGAGACAGAGGCATGAGGGTGATGTGCTTCAGTGGTGCTGGAGGCCGTGTGGTCCCATGTGGGCTCCTGAACGTGGTTATTACTTTGTGGCGTTTCCTTGCGACCTGTATGAATGTAGATAACGGACGCTTAATGAGTAAAGGCAACGCTTTTTTTTTCTTCTCAGACCCAGGACAATTCTGTTGCCAATGGGAGGTGGGGGCAGGGGGGGACCAGTTAAGCTGCAACAATCAATACCTCCTTAATCACGGCAAAAGATCCCTCCTCATTACCAGGTCTTTTATTGTCCAGGAACAAGCCTTCATTTGAAATACCGCTGAATATAAAGGGGAGGGAAGATATGAATGCAGAAGAGTTTATCAATGAATAATTTAAGGAGAACAGCCCTCCGCTCTCCCTTTGCTCATTACCAGGCTGGCTTGACACTCCTGAATCAGGAGCTGAGATTCTGTTTTTGATTGCTAACCCCATTCTAATGCAACCCTCCACTAATTAGGAAACAGATAAGAAGCTGTGTCAGCAACGATAGATTGCACACGCATAAATAATTCAAATTTAACAGTGCTGCTCATTGCAACTGAATTTGCACTTTTAGCATTTCAGGGAGAAAGTAGAAAGAATTAAGGAGGGAAACATCCAGGGTAGAAAAATAATTAACAGGTGTCAACAACCACAAAATGGTTGGAAAAAGGCTGTCATATCATAGAATTCTACGGCGGACTAATAGAATGATGTGCATTTATTAGAATGGCATCCGAAATCTTTAAGGCATAAACTGGAGACATGCCAGAATAATCTCTCCTTGGGTCGCCTCAAAGCTCAATCCTCACTGCACCTGTAGATCTTTGATTTTTTACCTCTAAACAGGTGCCACTAGTACCCCGCTGCCCAGGATGGGAGATCACGCAAGCTGTTGTAAGGCTCTCAGCCGAAATTGACTACTGCAACCTTGCACAGTATCTTCCATTACAGGAATGAAAGAAAGGTTATGAGCAGGAGGAGCTCATTCAGGCCACCTGGCTCATGTTGCAGCACTGCCAGGTTTCTTTTGCTTAGTAGCTACACGAGTTAGCTTCTGACCGCTTAGCATGGAACATTTTTGTACAGTAACCCATTTACAAGAATACCGGAACTGCAACTCTTAGTATAAGCACCTGCCTAAGGTACACAGATTAGACATTCGATTGAGCACTGAATTAAACCGAACAAAATCCAATGTGGGAGACAACAACAAGAGCTTCCACTGTATTAGTTACCTCCAAACAGTCATTGAAGAGAAACAACGTGACGTTTTCCCCACGATCACAGGGCTTATCTCCTAACGCAATCGTCTCAACTCGCTGCACCAGACTGCGATGTGAAGACAAGAGGTTTGCCTGTGCATGAGGAAAGTGGAATTTAAATCAATCTCTACTTTAATACCCAAATCATCTACAGCTAGTAATCCTACATTAAATCCTACACTTTCGCATTCTTCAACCATCGATCCACTTCATCTAAAAAAATACCATATTTATGAGGCAATTCAATTGAAAAAAGTGTTTTTACCACACACCAGCAAAGGTACTGAAAACTGACTTGCATTACCATTAGGACCTTATCAAGCAAAACCTGGCTGTGAAAAACGACACCCTAAAGCAAATCTTGCACAGCAAATACCATAATGAACACGTTAAAGAGGTTACTGAGGTGCAATAGGCCATGCTTTATAAGATTTGTACACACTGTGAACTACTTCAAAAACGTGTTCAAGGCAGATTCACTGACGATAAGTGTATTAAGTGAAGCGAGTAAATGGAACCTCACAGAGCTGCAAACTGCTTGCCACAAAAAATTATATGGAGTCACAATACATAAAGATTTCTTGAGCAGCATTAGTGCACTCACTGCCAAACACTATTTCCAACACAAATTGAAAGAGAAAAACTTACGGGGCAACCATCAACTTCATAAACGACATCAAAGATCTGCTTCTGGCCTTCTGTTTTTCTCTTGTCCTCGTTTATATGGCTAAGAAATAAAAAGAAAGCATTTTTAAATAAAGTTAATCCAGTTTTTCCACAGATTAGTCAGGTTATTAAGTTTATGTCCACATTCCACCACAACTATAACTTCTTATGCAATAGTTGTAAAACTGTAGTGAGCAGTTTTAAAGTGTTGTATAATGCGATAGAATTTTTTCAAACCCCCCCCCCCCATCTACTTACTTTCCAAGATGACAATACATCATGCATGCAGTATTCATACACTCAATAATTCTGCCTACAGTGGTTAAAAAACATTGAATAAAGCCTAGGACCTTCCAAAAAATGTTACTAAACAACTGGAAACCCAAAGTTTGCAGTCACTTACGTCATGACTTCTTTGAGCGATTCGATGGCCTTTTCTAAAGTGTTTTTGTCAGGATTGTCATCAGCAGTGTGTTTCTTTATATCTGACAAGAAAAATGTTAATGCAAATAAGAGGCATTTACAATCTCTACAAAAAGTAGTCTCGTATGGTCTTTAGAGTACAAGCAATCTTTGAGCAAGATATCCCATAGATAACTGAACCCTACTGGAGAGTCTGCATCTCACCTCCATCTTATACTCAAGAGCTGACGTTTTGCGCTGTGAATTTTCACAGTGGCTCAGACGATGGGTGCACATCTGCACCACTCATACCCTAAGACTGTGGCAGCAGTCAGAAGAATAATAGCCTAGATCCGAAAGATGTAGTATAAAAAAAAGTTAGCGATTCCAAACTCAAAAGCGCACCCCTGCTCTCTGAAAGAGATTACCGTTAAGAAGGAGAGCAACGCTTGGCAACCTCTGCACTGGCCTGATCAGCAGCTCCGCCAGCGTCTGCCGGCCACATTCTGGCTTGGCCTGATTAATCTGGGGGGGAGGAGGGAAAAAAAGACGTAACAGATCTGCTTGTGAAAACCACAAAAAAAAACCCATAAAAACTGAAAAACAAAAGGTTCCAGTGTCCATACCTTTAAGAAAGCATGAAACCTTGGCTTCTGTTTTTCACATCTGACAATGGTTTCCTTACTCATTTCAAAGAAGTTGACAAAAGGTGGGTAAGCTTTCACCAAGTCTTTCGACTGTTAGGAGAGAAAAAAACGTTTTCGCCACAAGAACAAAAACATTTCAGATAAGACATGCAAACTCCACCACTTGAGAACATTTAAGCAACAGTCCACAACTTAATAACCAAAAACGTATAAAGATATTGCTTCAAGTTTGACACCAAAGTAATTTGTGTTCAAATACTATTTGCAAAAGCTGGAAAACAGATGAAGAGAAGAGAAAATGCCCCCCTCTCCAGTTAGTTAAAACTTAATTTGAGCCGTGCAGGTGAAGTGAACAGGTGTTTTCTGAACTACTCGTTTCTGTCCAAGTTTACAACACGTACATATTTCAAAATGATATCTCCAACACTCCTATCCTCTGACCAGTTCAGAACCAGTTCTTCGAGCTCCACCTGTCAAAAAAAAAAAAAAAAAATTGAGAATTTCTTTTAATGTTGTAGATTGAAATCTTAAATTTAAATCCACACAAAAAGAGAAAAGAGACAGCATACCTTTATCCTGGTATGAACATCATAGATGTCTGGGATACTGCCAAAGATGGTCTTAATTTCTTCCTGTGCAAGAATAGGACCTCCAAGCTGTCCTTCCTTCTCCAGTGGATTTTTAAACAACTGAAAGACATTTCAGACAGAGGATACTAGAATTCACACTAGTTTTCAAAGACATTAATGGCACTTTCAATCTACATTCTTGAAGAAATTAGCAGCTTCCATGCCATGATTTTGCAAAACTGCAACACAAATTTTAAGACCTTGACAAATCTAGGCCACCAAGCCCCTCTTCCACAAAATTTCCACAGGGACATCTGCTTTTAATCATGCAGAGTTTTCACTCCATATGCTGATACCATTTCCATCTGTTTCAATTAATGCCTCAAGTCTTGGCAAGGCATTATGGACAGCTTCACAGGGCATGTCTGTCATTTTGTTAAGATTTGAAAACTGGAAAAAAAAACAAGGACTCCCACCCCGGTCCACTGTTGAACACAAGAGAGGTGCCTGCTGTCCAGCTCTTCACTGCACCACTGTCTTTAACTACTATGCAGTGCAAGTCCAGAAACCTGCCAGTGTTGCTACAGCTTGTTTAAAATAATGTACAGGTCACGTCATTGTTGAACAAACAAGAAAACTGTAAGGCAACTCACTGGCTGTTCTGAGCACAGACAGAGAGCCTTTGCACAAAATGTGGATGACATTAAAGCAAGGAATAAACCTTAAAAGATAAAGGCCTTATTGGGAGGGAAAGTCTGCAGGCATGATGCTTGAACAGCTGTAGCAACACTTGGCAATGTGCAAAGCTGCATTTTCCCAGAACACAGCGATCTGTTTCTGGCAGTGAAACAGAATGACGAGGGGCACGGCCAGCATTAGTAGTGTTATTGCCCTTCCATTTAGCCCCGTGCTGGTGTGCCCACCTGTAACACAGTTGTGAGGATATCCACATAGTTGCTCTCAGTCTGGTACAGCTCCTTGGCCACCTGCCATCGCGCAGACTGCTTGGGAGGAGCCAGGGCAGAACATTTTGATGTCTTTATGTTTTCTGTAAAAGCAAAATGTGTCAGCCACAATGTTAATGCCATGGATGAGATGTGAAACTGATTTACTAATGCTATTATTTTAACACTTAGTATACAGTAAAACTTTCATTTTTCAGTTTAAAGCTTCTGCAATGCTCTTGCCTTCTTGACTGCCTAGACTAGCTGGCATTATGAAAGACTGGCTAGACTAGACAAGTGGCCCTGTCTCAAGCAGAAGCGCCATTCCCCCAAGATGAACAGCACAGTTCTTCGGTTCTGCCTTCATCTAAACTGGGGCTGATATATCAATTACAAATTACAAAAGCCCAGTAGCTGCTGGCATGTTCCCATGAGGGAGAAGAAAGAAGCTCCTGGAAAACCGAGCTGCTATCAAGGACTGGGTTTCTAGTTTGCAACAGAGAATCAGGTTTTAAGATGGGTCTTCATGGAATTTGTTCTGTTACAGTTTAAAAAGCATTTGGATGCTTCCTAAGAAATCTCAGCCTAGATTAAACTACAACGAGCTTCACTCATCTTGCCTTCCAGATTACATCCACATCCTGCCTCTGCCTTTGACCCTTCACAGTGCAGTCGTTCCTTGCAGTCTGAGTCACTGATTCTACTGGACAGAAGAGGAGCTGATGGCTTAAAGTTCTCCGTTTCCTGCCCTGGAGCTTGCTCTGCACTGTACGTGCTAACTTCGACCCCACTCAGGCACTTCCCCAGCGGGCATTCGTTAACTGAACCTTCCTGCAACGAGATGCACGACGGCTCCATTCCTGAAGCCCCTTCCTCCTCCTCCTCCTCCTCATGGAGGCTGGACCTCTCCCGGAGGGGTGAAGTGTCCTGAGGAGCCTGTTGCTGCAGGGGAAAGGACTCTTCTCTACAAACCACTGCCTTCCACTTGGGATCTATTTCTTGCTTCGGAGAGCTGGTGAAGAAAAGTCTCTTACTCTCTGATCTAAGCTGCTTCTCCCTTTTAGCTCTCTTGATTTGCCTGAGACCAACAGGAAGGCTGCAGCATTGCCTACTCCTGGTATTTAAACTGCACAGTTTGTGCTCTGCAAGAAAAAGAAAACCTCAGTCTACGTATTAAACATATTAAGGGGTTGCGAATATCTACTTGACTTCGACTAGCATCGAACATTGACTTTAGGTGCCAAAAGGGAAATTAGACATTTTTAGCTTGTTTTGAAACATTCGGAGTTGATTAGCATTTGTGATCCCATAAGTCACAGCATCCGCTCACTCTTAAAATACACTGCCACTTTGATAGGCGCTCCTTGTAAGAGATGTACAAACAAAACTTTTCAAAACCTTCAAATAAAAGATTAGTTTACTTCCCATTCTGTTTTTTTTACTTATGGAGGCAATGCTGAAACTGAGGTAAGGCAGGACAAGCCACCAATCTATCCGTGACAGCCTGCAGAGAGCCGCCGAGGACAGAGCCCAGGAACGCCGTGGACAAACTTTACCCCCGCCGTACCTCCGACGGCCTTGCCCGACTCGGGCGTGTTGGAGATGTCCAGGAGAGAGCCCATCGACAGGGAGTGCTCAGCAGACTGCCTCTTGCGTGGGGGGAAGGGGGAGATCTCCGTTTCCCTGGCAATCTGTGCCAGGGTGTCTTTCAAACGGCGCTTCTTGCGATTGCTGCTTGGCGTGTTCAGGGACATCAGAGAGACCGACTTCTTCAGAGCTGGGCTTTCCGGCTGAAAAGCAGGGAATTTAAAATAAGTAAAAAAATCAAAAGATGATATTGCCGTTCCTTGACGGAAAAAAGCTAAAGGCTGTTCATGCTTTTCATCATTTTTATGGTGCGAAATCATTCTGCTGCCACTCATGGAGTATCAGCAGGCTCTACAGTTGCAACAGAAGCCCGTTTCATACCTTTTCATAGAAATACATTGATTCCTCCGCCCTGGCGTCCATCTGAATGCTCCCCCAGAACCACTTGAACAAGAGAAAAGACACAAAGTGACTCTTCTTGCTACAGTAAGACTGCTTATCAGTGAAGACCACAGGAAGAAAATTAAAATTGATAGTTAACTACAGCATTGAGGAAGGCATGGTAAACTGTAGCAGACTGGTGTGTAATGTCTCCCCATGCAACTACATAAGTGTTTGACAGATTCTGGGACAAAACTGACAGAATCCATTTCCTCATAATAAAACCACTACCAATGAGTGAAGTGGAAGACCAGTCTTTAATTTACTTGAGGGCGACGGAGATGAGATTTCATTACTGTACGCATGTAGACCATAAGCTGTTTAGAGGGACAAATGCATTGCACAACACAAATAAGGACTACCAGACAGCTGTGATAAATAAAGGACATGCATTTACCTCCTGCTTTACCACATACAGTCTTTTGGATGGAATGAAAGGAAGCTCCTTTATAGTGTTTTCTTCAATGATCAGGTGAGTGCACTTTTCATCCCCAACTTCCAAATACCGGCCACCTTCAAACAAAACATTATCACGGACGTCAGTGGCAATCAGGACACAGGCTTCTTTAACATTCTCTTGGTAAAAATGTTTTTGTAATGCTCATGGTCCTACAACACAGGGTGATCTTAAATAGATTACAGAAGGCTGCAAATAAAAGCAGCCGAGCATCCATGACACAGAGGTCAAGTAGGACACACCACTACCAAATGCTGATTGGATGTGAGCTTCCATAAAAGCTCAATGCGGGGGAAAAAAACTAATAACAACCCTGAATACACTTTGAGATTTAAGAAAAGGGAGCTTTGTCTCAAACTGGGCATACCTTGCATTTCTGTCATTTCTTCCATGTTTCTCTTGTCCTCGTCAGAGAAGCCCAGGAAACTAAGCTGGCAGTCTTGAAAGGGGGGCACTTTGAACTGGGTCCGAAACTCCTCATCTCCTGCATTAAAATTGCTTAACAAAACACAATCGAAGACTAAGCAGAGCGAAACAAATGAGCAATCACAGCTTCAGGCAGTTCATTTTAGATTTTACTGATCCAGTTGTGTTGTAATCTCACATTTCCCCCCCTTTAAGGCCCAAATAGATCACAGACACCCAATAAAGCTGCTCCAATGAAGCATGTAGGAATATGGCACAGGCTACCCAGCCATGATGAAGCTGATACCTTGATTTCTTTCGAGAAACAGCTGGATTAGATCCTTCAATCAATTAGCTACTAGCTACAAGCAGGTTAGATGGGTTGAATGCAACCTTGGGTCTTTTGCAAGCTTTATGCTCTAAAACAAGAAGTTATCTCCCTTAATCAGCGATATCACACTTTGCCATAAAATTTGGAATGCAACTTTACAGTCACAAAGTTTAGGAACTTTCCAATAATTCTTATGTTCAGCTTGTGGTGTAAATGCAGCCCTGAAAACCCATTATAACATCCAATTAATATAAAATAACCCATATTACTATAAAGACATTCGAACCCCGTACTGGCATTATCTGTACTGATGTTTTCCAGAAACGTACGCCATTTTGCTTCCAGTCCCAACCAAAACAACGTCTCCGCAGGAGTCCACTGTCCGCCACTACTGTTTCAGTGTTTGTGCTGTACGGTTGTCTTGTGTGTGTTATGTTTATATTGAATATTTGTCTATATTTTGAATTATTGTCTATTGCCTATTGAATTGCACTTTTTTTTTGAGAACCTTGAAAAGTGTAAATAAGGAGTTGGACTGTAATAACCACTGCTATAGTGGTTAGGAATACTGTAGCACTTGTCTCTTACAGTAACACCAACGGGCCAAATGCAGTTAGTATGTACAGTCACATGTACAGATGACAGAGACGGTCAGTATCTGTATTTAAGGTACTAAAAATGGCAAATCAGAAGCTAAACAAAGAAAATTAAATGAGTGTTAAGCTTCAATTACCCCTACTGAGGATAAGCATAGTATAAGAGTATAACGATAGCCTTGATACCCACTCCAAATTGTTACCACTATATCACGATTAAGGCAATTTATAAAGATAACATTCTTCACTGTTTCAAAATGCGTGTATTGGTTTCACTGCAGCCACTGAAACCACTATCATAACACATTGCTGTTTGACACATTTCTGCTTTCAGTACTTACAGCTCATTCCTTCTTTCCCAGGCTTTGTAGATCCAGTCAGGCTTGAGGATCGGCGTGCCCAGACACACAGCAAGCTGCAGGGAGAACAAGCACTGGGGTTCATGTTGTGCTCAAGCCAGCAAAGACTTGTCCAGCAAGAGGCAATAAAGCAAACTAAACCACTGTCCTAGCCACTCACCCATTGTGGATCTTTTGAAAAATTTACACTTCAACCGTATCAAATATCTTGCTTTTGATCAACCTAAAATCTTCATAATGTCAGCAGCAGTCAATGGTCTATTGAATGTAAATGACAAGGTAATGGCTCCTTCATCAAAAGAGTGATTTTTGTTGCCTCGTTTACACGTAACACCACGACTCAAAGCTCAAGTGCGTTTGCAGATGAAAGCGATGCAAGCTAAAGTCCAAAGCTACTTTCTAACGTTATTTTCTAAAGTTATTTTCACAACATCTGTCATAGCCAAACATTTCATGTGCTGAGCTTAAAGGACTCTTGGGGGACAAAAAAATCACAACAAAACTAATCAATAAAATAAACAGCACTGCCACATAGTAAATCTCATAGGGGAAAAAAAATCCTGCAGGAGTTAGACAAGAAAAAACAGATCTGGGCAAAAGCAGTGATATATGCCATCACTGAAGCCAAGGATCTTGCAGCATGTTTACCTGCAAGGAAAGCTTGGAAACGTTCCATTTGCAAAATGTATAAAAACATTACTACACTTAAGCAAATGAATACAGTTTTATACAACCACGGTTTTCTAGTCACAGTGTTATACCAACCCGGTACTTCTCGCCATGAGTGGAATGAGCTATGAGATGAGTAACTTTGGAACTGAAGTCCTTGCGGATGGTGCCTCCCATGTGATGGACCAGATTCACTAGATTCACCTACAAGGAAAAGACACCATTAACCAGTCTCACTCTGGCTTCTAACTGCCTGTGGCTAACTAACAATCCTACAGCAAGATCAAAGCAGGTGATCTGATCCAACGAGCAGACTCACCACTTCCTCCTTCTTGCGGAACCCAGTGAAACACAGCACCAGGCTGACCATGGTGGTGGAGTACAGAGGCCGAGAAGAAAAAGGAAGAGGCTGGAAGATAAAATGCACATGGAACATAAAACTCATCAATGCATTTTAGCATTCAAATTGCAATATAAACTCTTTGCCCATCTCTCCCATTTATAAAAAACTAAACAAAGCTAAGACGGTTAAGTGTACTTCTTGAGTAAGAATACCAGTGACCACATGAAAGAAAGGCATTACAATGGCCTCATTCTCATCCACTGGCCAGGCTGCCAGCCAAATAGATACAAGACAAATCTGTATCCCCAGCTACTTCAAAACTGCAGAATTAGTCAACAACAATTAAAACTTTTGAAGCACATTACTGCACAAACCCTGTGCACAGGAGTACACTGTACTGTGCGATCCCTGGGCACAGAAAAATGGCCCCTGACCACCCTCCTCCTTCAGATCGCATTGGTTCAGGCTTTACCAGTCCAACATATTGGTATAATCAGATTTCTGAATTGTTTTGCAAACATTTTGTAGTCATTGTTAAATCCACACTTGTGGAACAAGATACCCAGCCAATGGCCGGATGAGATCATCAGATCAATTAGCTACAAAAAGCAATCAAGTTAGATGTGTGCAATAGCCTCCCCTCGTTCGCAAACGTTGTTCCCCTCGTTGTTCCTATGTAAATTTAACACTATACAACTAAGTATTTTAACTGATCTGATGTTACTCGGGATAAGGTTATCATCTAACTTAATAACGACCAAGTGTATCAGTTGTGCTTTTCTACTGCAAAGTTAACTGTTGCGATTAAATTGTAATGAACAGGTGTAAGTTACTTCAAAACAAAATGTTTTAGTGCAAGAGTTTTCAGAGCCAGAGTAAGTAAATAAGAAATAAAAATGACATCTACTTCTTACCTCCTCTTTCATTGCACAATGCAGCACAACAGGTGGACCGATGATCCTGTTGTCATTCCTGTACAAGTAGCTGTAGTCAGGGCACTTAAAGTCTGTCAGCACAAACACGGTCTCAAACTCCGCGTTCTCTCCATCTCCAAACTCTTTCACATTGTCAGTCTTTATACAGGGTACCTTAATTTCCTAATTGAAGGAAAAAAATAGTAACTCACATCGTGCAGAGCAAATTTACACCACAGCAATGAACAATGCCAGATCATACGGTCTGTTAAGGCAGGCATTTCAAAGATACTCATGTGTGAAAAGCAACTTCAACAAGGGCAGCAGAGTTAATCAGCCCAGAATTAACACCAGGCATATGACACACAATGCAGTGCAGTACAACTCTGACAGAATTAAAAGCTTGTTACATCTTTACTGGGCATTAGCGTTAACACTAATAACCAGCATTTTCTAATGGCTTAAGTAACCGTTTTGTTTGAGCTCGGTGTACACTTAGAGTCAAAAGGGGACTGTTTTTATTTACAAGTATTTCATTAAACATGACTACATTTTTATTGATCTACCCATTACTGATAGCAGTTCACAACCCTGCCTCCTGTGAACACTGTTCTTCAGTAACAGTACGGCAGTTCATTTCTTTTAGTTATTTCAGATGAAATTTCAAGCTTAAAGAAACCTTTTGCACAGGACTTAATAACAGCGCAAATAATTTATGACGGTTACTCCGGTTGCTCTTTTAACAGTAGGATGCACCTGCGTATTGAAAACAAGACAGACAGCATCAGAAAGTGCAGGACTTCTTTAAAAAGGCAGCAGTGAAAACCCTTATTTCTGCAACAATACCTCAAAACAAAAAGCCCCAGACAACTGGACAGATTGTTTTGTTAGAGAACAGTGGGCCAGACTTCTAGGTGTTATGCAACCTTCATTTAGTGAACAAACACAACAGACAGTGTTAATACACCAATCACCTTCACCCAGCCATGCAGTATTTGTCCCAGGGTGGATTTAAGCATGCACAGCCCACATCCAGAGACATACCATATTGACTATAGATTTTATAAACTTTTCTCCCGACTGACTGCCGGGTTCAGCTCCTTTAATCTTTACCACTGGCACCTCCATTATTTTAGTGGCCTGCAAAAACGAAGAACTCTCTTGAAACAAGGTGACATTGCTCTGCATCGCATGTTAAATGGAGAACAACTCCATTTCTTTTCCCATGTCTAACAAGACGATCGGTTTGAAATTAAGAAATTTATGAAAGATAAAGCAGATTGTTTTCTTCTGTTCAAACATTTTAGACCAGTTTCTCTCAACCTTTCATTAGCTAGTTTATAGTACATTGATCCACAGCAAAGTGATTATTGAAAGGTAATACGTATCAGCTCCATTGATATTACCAGATTCCTATGCATCAAACTTTACAGACAACAAAAAGGAAAACATCTGTGACGACAAGTGTTTTTTCACAGTTTCTCACGTTAAGTTGCTTCTCAAGCATCCCAGCAGTGATCTTTGAGGTAATATTAAAAATTCACTGCACTAATATTGCGCTTTTTTACGCCAAAGGACTCCAAATAGCTTTACATCTCGGAAAAAACACACTTCATTCACCAAGGAAGTACAGTCCCATCTGGGTGACAGCCATTCTGCAATCGACAAATTCCTAATGCAAGAAATTTGATATGGCTAATAAAGTGATCTTATCTTATTGGGGTTGCTGGAACAGATGAGATGGAAAAATTGCTTCACCAGTCGAATCAAGGGGATTAAAGAAAGAGACCAGACATACAAGTCTAGACTGGAATTTTGCCAGGACACCAGTGTGAACAGTACCATAGGATCAACGAGCAAGTTGTCACGACCTCAGTTTAACCTCATTCCGAAGAAAGCAACTTGCACATGACACCCTCATATTTGCAAGGGCAAAAGTTTGGGAATTCTGATCCAGATGGAAAAGTCCCTCTTGCATACCCATTTGCAGCTGCAACCTGGCTTTTCTTGGGAGGTATACCATCTCAGTACCAATCAGGCCCAGCCTTGACAAAGATCCGAGATCTAAGCAGATCAGGCTGCAGGGTTGTATGATACCCAAGGCAATGGAAGTTAGAAGGGATCGTTTTGATCAGCATAAGGCACCACAGGTTACGAGAGCATCACACAGATCTTGTTTGCAAGAAAAAATAAAAATCAATCTTAAACCTTCAGAATAATAACATCTCCCAGTGAAGATTTATAGGTCATTGCAAGAAACAAATCTACATACAGATTTGTGATTTCAGGAGCCCTAAGACTGAAACTCAATAAATACTTAAAATGATTATATAGTAAATCATTTTAAGTACGCCACAGTATGGTCATGATATTTAATTTCAGATTTTAATATTGCAACACCTTTATACCATCCGTGCAAGTACTGTGAAAATTAACAAATGAAGGGACAATGAAAAATGGTATTTCTGTCTAAAAATGGCTGGAGTCATACATATTTTAACCTTAAACATCTACTGCTGCTGATACTTTATTATTTTTAGCAAGTGACAAATGATAGTACTCTAGGATAAATTTATTTCCAAACAGCAATCTGAAATTACAACAGGGGGATTTGTCAATTTAAATAAAAATTATCAGCTTCTTATTCCTGGAGCTTCAGTAATATATACCAAGGGGAGCATTGTTAGCATATTATCCATTGAATAATTTGTTCAAAACTATCACACAAAAACTATTATGGGATCAGCAGGTTTAAATCTGTACAGTGTTGTCTTGCATCTAAAGGCTTAGCAACTCATCTGAAAATTGAATAATGAGCTATTGTAAAGAGGAAAGAAAGAATAAAATATCCCACTATGGTATTATTTTTTACCTCCAATGCCTTAACAAGTTCTTCATTGTTTCCTGCTTCTCCCACAAGAATAACCCTGGTTTCAACACGAGGCAGCATATCTGCAAAAGGATACAGATGATTACTGCAAAGCAAGGGAATGGATACAAATATTAAACTGTCCTCCTCTCTAACAGTTAAGACACAAATGCTAGTCTGTAGTTTATGTGCTCCACAGTGAAAACTAGGCTTTGAAATGCACACAGAAGGCTCTTCACAGCATAAAAATAAGCATAGCAGGAACTGTTCTGGCCCTTGGTCTCACCCAGCCATTCTGATTAAGATGATGCATACATAACTACTCAATGAGCCAGATTGGCTGAATCTCGTTTGCAGATTATTTATGTTCTCAGTGTGCAGCTCAATGACTAAAACGGCATCCTTAATTTTCATATTTATAGAAAAAAATGTAAAAAGGATAAACATTTTCTGATCCCAAAATAAAGTGCAAACTCAAGTTTAAAATCAGTGCTTGTATATCTGGGGAGATACATGCGCCCTCTTCCGTTCCTGCTAGACAAACACCTGTAAACTTTCAAAATTCCTTCCAGAAAATAAGAGAAAATTACAAAAGAGAAAAAAGGCTTCTAACATCAGTCTATTCCACATCTCTTACTTTCTCGGGTTTACAAAACATTTGTTACGTTTCTTTTTTTTTTCCCCACAACACAGGAATCCAGAAAAGCTACACACACTAGGTTTTAGGATCTACAGATTGTGGAGTATGAGGACTTTGTAATTCATCATTATTAAAAAGATTTTAACAGGTTGGCAATACTGGGTGAGATCTGCATTTCCCAAGGCCTTTGAAGAGACGCTGTGCACCGTTATTGTTCAAACCCACTTTAGACATGTCCAGTTTGACAGCAATAACTCAACACAACTGTAACAAGACTTAGCTTTCTGGAGTCACCTTCAGCATCCTCTGGAGTCAGACCAAGAAACAGGTGGTCCCTGGAGGTCTCGGCCATCCTGGAGTCATAGACAGAGGAGTCCACCAGCAGGCTGGGGGCCGCCCCCAGTGTGAGAGTACTGCTGTCAGCCATGGCAGATCAAGAGCTGATGTCCCTACGCAAACACCAAGCCGAAAGGGCAAACATGTCACGCCGCATGCCAGTTACCCCTTCAAAAGCGAATTACGGTTTAACTGAAATAAACTGAATAGTTTGAAACAACTCCACGGCACTAAACCTGATCATGGAAACCTTCAGCGTGACTCTCTCACGGAGTCCGAGACAAACGGCAGTGCTTCACAAGAGCGCAGCCTCTGCTGAATCTTATTAAGAAATGAAGAGCCCATCACAGCAACAGGGAGAAAAACAAATCAGGCCCAGAACTCGCAGCCTTCGCTCAGAAACCAGAAGGCTCAGGGTCAACACAAATAAGCCCGTCCTCCATCCCCGTGTGCAGCCAGTGTCCTAAATAACAAAGCTGCAGAAGCTACTGAAAAAAAACATGCTTCAGGAGAATGGGACTTGCAAGACTCGACCTTTAACTATAAATGCAACGAACTTTTTTTAGGGAAAAAAAACTTAGAGATCAAAACGCCACACGCGTTGTACCAGTCAATCTTTGAAACACTTCCCGATTCAGAAGTATTTTAAATTAACGTTCATTGGAAGATTAAGCTTCGGAGCCACGGAAGATTACTGAAAGAGCACAGGATTCAGCTTTAGGTCCCTCCGGAATGATCAACAGAGATGTTCACATACCAAGTCTCAAAACCGGCCACAGATATTAGCCAGTAAAGGTACAAATACACTCAGAAGTCAATGAGAGTAGCCAGCAACATGCTGGACTGAACCACTCAGGAATAAACATGAACTATTTAATGTCAGACCAGACCTGAACAAGTTACAATCGCACCTGCTACAAACTAGTCAGCAAATGTCTTGCCCCGCAGAAACATTCGCCCGCAGACTCACCCTTTTCTGACCCGGGCATTACAGGGGCAAGCTGTAAGAAACATGTTTTCTTTTATTTCCCAGAAAGACTAACACCCACCAGCAGGAGAGACAGGAGCAGGCCGGCGCCGCAGAGTCAGGTAGGGTGGACGCAGCTAAAACACCTGCAAACAAAACCACACGCGGCTACAACACGAAACGCGTTTCTAATAAAGAAAACAAAAAAAACAAAGAAACAAGATAATACGTCAAGTTCCGCGGTTATTGTGTGTAATGCGAATTAACTGTAAAGCCCCATTCTCGCAGCAAACTGCTATGTTTCGTCTCCTTGAATTCAAAAAAGCTGGACAAACACAGAGCTGCGCGCTGATTGGACGAGAGGCCAGCCCAGGACCGGAAGGGGATCTTCCGGAAATAACGTCCCCGCGGTTCCCATTGGCTGGCGCTTTCAAACCGGCTCGCGTGCCCGAGTGCCCCAGTGCGCGAGCCTGCAGTGGCGGCGGGCGCGGTTCGTCTCGGTAGGGTTTCTGTCAGCTTGTAAACATCACGGTTCCGAGCGATTGAATGTAGCTAGGACAAAAGTATCATTAAAAACACAGGAGGGCTTCACATGAGTGGAGGTCCCGTCGACCTCGGTGGGTGACTCAAACTAGTGTACTAGGAGAGACGTTCTTACACAAACGTGGCCCTCTGGTCTCTGTATCCCCTGATGGTGCTGAAACGCACAGGTTGCATCCCCGAGTCTTCACATGCTGGTGTTGAACTGGTGCAGCATGAACCTGCAGGTCACTTGGCATCGCCGGACCCCAACGCTGACAGCCCGAGTGTGCGTGTGTGCATCTCTGCAATCTGGTTTCTGTCTTTTGCTTTTACTTCTTTCCTTTATAAAAACGTTATTGTCGTTGACGTAGAACATCAACACGGATCAGATGCTATGGTTTAATTGCATAAAAAAAATGCAGTTTTACTCCATAGGGTGGTGGACACTTGACAGGGCTGTGTTCGCTGCAGTTTCTGGAGGGTGACTCGCGGGTCAGCAGGACGGGTGTTGCGCCTCTGCAGTGTGCTCTAGGCCGGCCGAAGAGTGCACGACTTCGCCGCAGAACGTTTCTCAGCTTATTACCCACAGACTATCTCGAGTGAATGATGATGGAAAGATGTGTTTATTGTACGAGGTGACTCCAGAAAGTTGATTCTTACAGCTTTCTCAGTTTTATTGCTGTAGACGCCAGAGTATCCGCTCAAGGTGCGCCACAAGACACGTCTAGGTACTCTGCTTCATCTGCTTCACCTTCACCCTGCTGACATGGATTCATCTGCTTTTTCCACTTGCAAAATACGATACATTCGTTGGAGACTCAGTCTGCATCAAAGTTCCCCACATATGTTTTTATTTGAGAGTCAACAAAAGCACCAAGAAGCCATTTTCAGAGTACTAGTATCACAGTATAGTTTTGAATGCCCATTATTTAAGTTTTAAAAGCTTGGAAAAGTTTATTTCACGGCACATGAAAACATAAGTTAACATAAGTTGAATTTATTCTTGTGAAGGAAAAAAGGAGTGCAATTCTTTATTTTGTTAGCCTAGGAAAGGAATTAATGATCATTTGTCTGTGGAAAAAATAATTTTGTTTGTCAAACATTGTTTTTAAAAACCCTACAATTTTATAGTTTCATTTAAATGTATTATCGTATAGTTTTGGACACTTAACATTATGACTGAAGACCTCACAATCACAGACACTGCAGATATTTTTTTTTACAAGATTAATTTCTGAAGCATACATATAAAACACATTTATCTGTGTGTTTTCTACACAACTCTGGTGCATGAAATCTGGTGCCCCTTTGTGCATAAATGAGACGGGGAGGCCGAGAGTGGGGTTTAATTTATTCTGGTTTGACGAGAGCGTCGGTGCTGGAATGAGGAGCCATCCTTTATGAAGGCCTGTAATGAGGAGGCAAGGCGACCGGCTCGGATCAGCGCTAATTTGGATCAATGATGCCACCCACCAGCTGACACACTCAATAGTGGGAACAACATGTAAAACTTTACAATGTGCATATCTTTTATATATAATTTAATCCCGACAGAAGAAAGCAGATAAAAAGTTAGTGCCTACCACCAACCGAAGGAATACATTACGCTTTAAGGCCCACATTAATGGTCTTTTCTGTTCCTCGCCGGAGCAGCAGCTGACAGCACAGAGTTATAATGATGTGCTGTATGCATTCCACTGTACCTGAATGGCATCCATCATGAGCCGACAAGAAGACACAGACACCTTCTTTTAACAACGCATTGTAATTTCAATATGTTTAAAAATGTACAGAAAGGTCATTTACACAGTATATCCAATGACATTGCTCATACATATACAAAATGCAGTTTGCAGTCTAGGATTCCAAGTTTTTTTTTATCCTTTCAAATAAATACAGACAAAAGTTAGCAGAAGGAGCTTCACAATTTCTGAATGAAAAAGACTGTGCCTGAATGGTCTGCCTCAGTAGAAATGCTTTAAGAAACATCAAGACAATGCAACACCTTGATTTTGTTTTTGGTCACAAAAGTAAAGACCAGAATTTTAGGGTATCTCTTTTTACACCACCATTAAAAGATAAAATTACATTCAATCCACTAGAACAAGTAGCAAAATCAAAAGGCCCCTACTGTAAGTTCTCAGGCACAAGTCCCACAAACACCTTGAATATGTTTTAACAAAACTGCTGTAATTTTGAAAAAAAAGAAACATTCCTGGTCATCTATCATAAAGCTTATCATTGACAAGCAATAGCTAGCTCACGTAAAGGAGTTCAGGACAATTCGTAATGCCCATGTGAAGCAGAGTACAGTGAAGATGAATTATTCTGCGTTACAAAAAAACTGATACGAGAAAATTATATTTGAAAATGATCAAAACCTGAAGTTTATAAACTACTGATAATGATCTGTTTAATCAAAATGTGCGCATGACTTTATTCTTAGCAATTTGCTACACTTGTCTCGTTATGTATGCATCACGTCTTCACGGCAGCTATCTAGCAGCCTCTCACTGTGACAGCGTTCCCAGCGTAACAGTGTATTCTGAACGCAAGAGTGTTTTGCTCTTGTAATGGTTTTCTACAGTTCACAATTTACTAAACATTGAAGAGTATGTCTAGTAAAAATGCTCATATCCTGACACACAGAAATATTTATAAAATATATATATAACATATGCTACTCTCAGATCAAACTGAATATTGTGGCTGGGAGAAGTACACGAGAACTTCACACAAGCAAAACACTAAGCCTGAAAACAAATACAGCACATTCAGATGAAATATAGCCAAGAGTGAATGCTTCTTCAAAAATGAGAGGTAAACCTGTACTGTTCAAAGAATTACTTCTCTCACAGATGGCAAGTCACAAATAACTTTCTATTTGGTGACTGGTCTTTGTCCAAAAGTGCTCAGTTTTCGCAGGACGCAGAAATCCATGCGCCGCAGACAGGATATGGCCTGTTTCTGCTTGTGCTGTTCTTGTCCATATTGCCAAAGGAGAGGAGAGGGAAACAGTGACACCAACAACCACACAGGAACCACTCACAACATCACCCTCTCCCTCAGCAGAGTGTTACAGTCGCCAGGCTGGAGCGCAGCTAAACACAGTGAGAACCAGAGCTGCAGGGTCTTTATCTCCGTCGCCACACTATCGATGTCTATATTCAGGCTCAACAGACGCTGACAGACCTGGTCCTCTCAGCTGTCGCAGCTTGCTGTTGCAACCTCCTGACACACACGCAGCTCTGCCGAGTTACAGCCAGGAAGGGAAGGAGCAGCGGCACGTTACTGGAACTGTGGAACGGAAAGGCACTGCAACAGCGCTGAATCAAAGCATAAAGCACCACTTTTTGTGCTATTTATTCGCCTGGAAGGAGAGCTTCTGTACAGGACGTAGCAGCTGAGAGGGTGTCTGGTTTACTACCCAATGGCAGCAGACGTAGGAGCTCTTTGGACAATACAGGCAGATTGGAACCTGGAGCCTTTAGTTACAATAAGCAAAGCAGCTTCCGCTAGAGGACTCCTCTGGGAGGGCGGATTGAAGGCAGCCTGCAAGCTCCAGACCCGCGTGGCACACAAGAAAGCCAGAAGCTGAAAGACGACTGAGAATCCCCTCGGTTTCAACTCCCAGCCCTCAACTCCGTCGCCATCTGTCCCGCGCGCTCGCTTTCCTTCTCTTCCGTGTCGGCGAGAGCGGCCGTGCACATGTCGCTGAAAAAATCTGGAAAGGGGAACGGCGGTTAAGAGGCGGAGAAACGAATGGCAACGCGGCGTTTTGAAACGACTCTGTCTGTGCGAGACAGCAGGCGGCTGCTGCAGACGCTCGGGAAAGCGCACGGTGTTAGATCTATCTAACTTTACTTTCTTGGGCTGCTGGGTTGTTCTCACGCCGAATACACTGCAAGCCAATGCAGTCGTGTGGCCAGGCCAGTCCCCGGGAATACAGGGATGGAAATGCCAGACAGGCTCGGGGGAACCCGAAAGGTTCCAGAACAGCAGGATGTAACAGTGGAGGAGACCTCAAGCTACTGCAGCACCTCCACCTGACTCAAGCGGGGTCTCGGGCTCAGCTCCTGGAGGGCCTGTTGTCTTCTGGGTTTCGTTCCAACCTAAGGAGTCGATTAAACAATTAACCTAATTATTTTCTGAATTAGACCTGTACAGGATTTTTGGTAAGGACTTTTTTACTGTTGGCTGCACAACACATCTCGCTTCATTAAGGTACAGCTACCTACAGTTCAAATCACTTTGGATTCTGGTTAGAAGCATTACACTTATATAGCTAATTAAATAATTAGTTCATGTATGGAACTGAGAATGTGGTTGGAACAAAAACCAGAAGACTCCAGGCCCTCCAGGAACTGAACCTGAGACTCCTGCTCTACAGCAAAACACACTGAATGGATACAGGCTGTTCTCAGCTATGGGGGCTCTTCTCTAACTGTATCATCACAACACCTTCCAGGGTCTCGTGATAAAAACAAATACATTAGTACAATACAAAATGGATATGGTTCCATTTAATCTATTTCACACCAATAAAGGATGAAAGGCACTTGTTATGAAGAGTGAAAGGAGCCAAGCCACCAGGAAAGTAAAGACCATGAATATTGCAAGTAAGGGGTTAGCAGAATGGGAAAAGAGACAATGCATGCTGCACTCACTTAGCTTTCAACCTGCTATTTAGTTCCCTGTTTTTTATTTTAAATCTCTCTACTACATAACGTATTATCGAGTACTGTGGGCTGCAACCTGTTTCACTAGCTGTTACAAATTAAGTATTTAATAAGATGTACCAGTATTACTGTTTATGTGAACTCCTCCTGCAGACAGCAATATGCTGGACGGAACCAAACCTGTCTTCTCAGTTAAAAGGGTCTTGACTAGCCTAAAATACGAAAAAGAATGTTCAGTTTAATTGAGGGCTTACCACAGGGGTGGGTTTCAGAGTGATCATTGATTTGGATTAGAAGAAGGTGACTCATTGACATGAATTTTCCCAGCAGACTCTTCAGAATCAACAACTAACCACACACCAGCGGACACAAGAGTAAACTATGTGGAAGTGCAGTTAAAACCGAGAACAGGAGGCACTTCTTTACACAGAGAGTTGTGGGAGCGTGGAAGAAGCTGCCCAGCCATGTTCTTGAAACTGTTATCATGGCGTCTTTCAAGAAACAGCTGGATGAGATCACTGGATTAATTAACTACTAACTACCAGACAGCAGGATGGGCTGAATGGCCTCCTCTCATTCTTACAAATGACATTTCCTTGCTTAAAAATATTACTCACTTAAATCCACTTTGGCTCATTTATAGCCCATACAATTTAATATACAAATGGCATTTCACAATTTTACTGTATTTCCAGTTTATTTGTGCACCTTGAGTATTTTCACTGCATTATTGATCAAATACACTACATTTTTTAGCTATACTAAGTTAACCGCACAATTTAGTAGATTTTGTCGGTAATGTTCATTTTGTCTTCCGGGTGTCATTCTGCAAATCCTCTCTTACAGCCTGGAATCTGGCTTTGAAGTGCCAGCAGGCAGAACACAGCGTTAATGTGACCAACAAATTTAGCAGGTGCACTGTCCTAATTTCAGATGTAAACACGCGGTTTATTCTGCAAGCATGTTCTGCAGACAGTCCTGTGAAACATGCCATGGAGCTGAAATATTATGTAGGTACAGACTATCTTTCACTAACTGATGATTCTGTTCACCTGTATACATTTCAATGGGGACAAAATATACAAATGCAAATAAAAAGGTCAATTCAACTGTGTTGTAGACTGTCTGCTTTTTTTTTCAGATTTCAGAACCTGAAAAATTGAAAGGGTAACACTGGCTTAGTCTATAAAATGGACAATACCAATCACCTGTTTATTTTTTGACCTTGCATTTATATTCTAGATTATTTTTGCTAATACAAGAGTTACATAATTAATCACAGTTTTAAAGAAATGTATTAGTAGTTTCATTAGGAAGGGTGAGGAAGAGTTTTAGTTTAGCACCAAATCCAAAAGATGCAGATGAATGAAGATTTTTATTAAATAAATAATTAATGTGCACAGTGTGATGAAATGTAGACATACTCAAAATAAATAAATATAATAACTAAAATGTACCTTGAGACAAAATACTGTTGCACAAGCTCTATCCCAATTATGAATGGTTTCTTAAATCCAATTACATTGGTAGTGGAATTTGGAATGTTCTTCTATGTTTATGACAAAATGAACCTCTTCCAGTTGCAAGAGAATAACATTTTCTGTGATTGAATATACTCTATTTTAATAAGTAGTGGGGATTTTAAAATTAATGGCTGAAACCCATGGCCATAACATGTGCATGTTTTCAACATAAAGTGTTTTCATAATCTGTATTAATTTATACTTTATGTGCTTAGTAAGTGCAAAGTTAAGGACATTAAAGAGCCCCTGTCAGGGCCAACATTACATTTGAGTGGCTAAAGGACACTTTACAAAGCAGTGTTTCCAGCATTCCTGATTTCTGGATTTCATGTTCATGTTCAAACTTGTCAATTAAGCATGGTTGAAATATGTTTATCACATTCATTTACTGTTTTGCTGTACAGTACATTGAGATGAAATCATGAAAGTCACTAAATGATATAGACTGATAACATATTGAGTGAGTGAAACTTGGTGCAGAAGAATAAAAAGCTCCATCTATTCTATATTTTTATACCCTTTGTTTAAAAATCCGTGAGGCACACAGCATCTGCTTGCTGTACTAGTGAATAGGCATGTTTGCCCACCGTTGGGGAGAAAGAGGAAGGCTGTCTCTTGCGAGTGGGGCAGTGCTGTGTGCTTCTGTACGAAATGTGCTCTGCGCCCACTGGGAGCCCTGTTATGAATGAGGCGGCTCTCTCATCACTCACCAGTGTCGGTTCTCTGCTTCCTCCAGAAACTGCACTAAATCTCCCGACTCCAGAGACAGCTCCTCCGATGTTTTCGCCTCGTATGTCAGCTGAACTTGAAAAAGAGCAGGGTCCCCCTAACAGAGGGCAGGAGAGAGAGAGAGGGAAGGCAGAGGGTGGTGATTTAGAGGTGGTGGCTGTCACTTTTTCTCTCTTTAAACACCAAGAAACATTCATCTCCATTGGCTCCTTACAACAATGGAGACCAATTATGTACTGGTCCCATTAAAACAGATCTGCCTTCTCATACATCAGCACAATTATAATTGAAGCCGAAATTCTGTCAATTGAGACACAAGGGAGACCTTCTGTGCTAATCCTTTTTCCCTTTCCTTGCCTTTTAAAATGTCAAGTACTCAATCAGCGCTAATGAGGATCCAGAATTGTGAAAACAATTAACAAAAGTCTTCGGAGGGGTTTCTGAGAGCTTACCAGGAATGCACGTGGGAATAAGAAAGTTCACCTGGTGAGCTGCACGTAACCACACTTACATTTTTACTGTTGGGCTCCTCTGCATCCGAAGAGTTGGACAGTTCCTCTGTACTGGAGAGGATAGTTTCAAAATCTTCGTAGGTGTCCGCTGAAGAAATATGCCTACTGGTCCACCCTTTAAGATAAACAAATTGACACAGTAAAACTGTGATGCTGCCCAGTACCAGCAGGGTATCTCTAGTACAAGCCTGGCAAGACTGAGCTCAATGAAACAGACAAGCCAGTGAACATCCCTTCCATTCCCTGAAATTTGTGATATTCCAGAAAAAAAAGTAAATTAGAAATGAACACATGGATTATGTTCTTTGAAATGTGCTGTAATGAAGATTCCACCAAATAAAAAAAGGCATTGTAGTATATGCTGCTGCTGGTACAGAATATCAGACACAATTGAGCAACAAAACAGGGAAAAACACCATGAGAAGAAAAGACATCACAGATGGAGTCAAGGCAGGTGATGCAGGACGAGCCTGTTGTAATGTTCGATTACCTGTTTGGGAGGCAGATCTAGGCACAGCAGAGTTTGTACTCGCAGTGCTGTGACGCTTGCTTTCAGAAGGGATAGCGTCACGCAAAGTATCTGGGAGGGAAAAGGAAACCTTACAGAACAGCCGCAGAGCCAGCGATGGATCATTCCAACCACTCAGATTCTAAACTTTCCTACTTACATCAGAAACAGAACCAACTTGCTGCTGCATTAAGCTGTATGTTTTGTTTTTATTTCGCAATACATGTATCTGTGGTTTCACAATGATATTTATCATAATATAACAAGTTGTGCGTAGTAGGGCAGACGAGAGCTGTTCTTAAATCTATAGCTTTCCCTTGTGACAGGACGCTGAGCTTCCTGCTTATTCCTCCTTATGCACAGTGACTCGTAGTGCATGGGAGAGACACAGCATCCCTGAGGAAGATGATCCCTCTCCCTCCCACTACGGAGAGATGGAATGCAGATGCCCTGGCCAGCAGCAAGCTGAAGACTGGAGACTGAAGAACAGCGGGACCAGCCCTCTACGCCCTGAATCTCTGGCCCTAAAGCCACTAATCCAGCAGTTTTGTCCAGGTTCCTCTAAATGACCACCTGCATCACATGTCTAGAAAAGCGTCACATTGGTCCAGACCGAGCCTCAGCTGGATCCAGCTGTCTTCAGCTGTCTGTGAGTGAAGAGAACCTGCAAAACCTGCTGGACTGTGAACTTTGAGGGCCAGAACATGATGCCCCTTCACTGCCTGAGAGTGATAGCACTTCCCTTTTGCTGAAAGCACCCTTGGTGTCCCCTTTGTGATCCCCACACCTGAGGAAGAAAGCAAGCAACACCCCCCTGTTTCAGAGTGCACCATGCCAAACAATAGATAACATATTCCACAGCCAGGGACACCACAAGCTAATAGACATCATGCACTACAGGAAGCTGAAACAGGTAAAGACATCCAGTATACCAGTATCACCACAATACAGACAACACAGCTCGAGCAACACAGACAACCAGCGAGCTTCCTGTCCCAACAACATGCATGTGGACGTACTGTAAGGAGCAATACCTTCATACCCCAGCGGGGTGGGGTCACTCTTTATCTCATGCCTCTTAGCTTTTAGGCTAGAGGCTAGGGGGCCTGAGCAGAGCAGCACACATTAAGGAGAAAGAGACACAAACGTGTTGACACTGTAAATTAGGCATGAGGCAAGGTGTACAAAGTCAAAATTATATTGGTAGAAAACATTGTTAATTCCAAATAACAGAAATAAAAGCAGGACAGAGGTACAAAGCCATATGATTCTTTTCCTTCGTTCTTACACATAATGTACAATTTGTATACATTTTAAGTAGCCCTGGATAAAATCATCTCCTTAGCAAATAAAACATATGTGATAATAGCAAATAAACTGTTAAAGGTAGTAAAATTAGACTAGGAATGTTTTCTGAAAGTACATTCAAGATGTCAGCTTATCCAAAACCGCAGCACTGGGCACCAGTGAGATTCTCCATGTTGTCCGCGGATGTTTGTGTCTGTCCATGCATGTGCATGTGGTAGTGCTTCATTGTATTTATACGGTACATAATTTTCATTTCTCCAGTTTTGCATTTGCTTGCTGGCTCTGTGCAGAAAAGACCTCGGCGACAGGTTTCATTTGTCCCCTAACAAAGGACCTGTCCTGTATCTCATCTAGGCTCTTTGCAAGCACTGTGATGGAGAACTGCTGGCAATCAGGTACCTTTTGTGCGTCTAGTAGCTGAGGCACTGATAGAGGACGCTAAGGAGAAGCGGCGTGTGCCATCTGCCTCCTTAGGCTGGGATTCTAAGGCGAGAAGCATGGGAGGGTTAGCAATTAGTCAGCCAAGGAAGAGAACATGAAAGCTTTGTGAACGGTAAGCAGCAAGAACTAAATGAGGCGCTCACACAATTCAGCCTGATGCTCCTCCACTACATCTTTTTAACAAAAGCTAGCTTATCTGCTGGAGCACGTTTCTGACCCGAGCTAGTACTGCAGTGGAGGTTTATTTAATTCTACTTAATAACCGAGTTCAATGGCTCTGAGCGTCTTGTTAGTTGCTTTCAGACTGGCAAATATTTAATAATGGTAAAGACAGTAAAAGCATGAGAAATGGCAGATTCTCTCAGCAGCTGCTGATCCACAAGCACAGATGAAGAATCAATGCAGAAAATGCTAACGAGATGAAATTATTGACAACCGAAACTCTCCGGCTGCTGTTACACCAGCAAACCAAGTATAAATGTGTCCTTTCATCTTCATCAAGTATTTTTCCATTATAAATAAGGTGATGCAGAATTATCAATGCCAAATGAGTGATGTTAAGCATGCTAATGTTTTGATTTACTTAGAAATTCTAAAAACATGGATTAAACAAAACAAATAGCCTTACTAGCACAACAAGAACATCGGGAACATAAAGAGAAACCTGCACCAATCTAAATAATCTAATTTGTGTTATAGCTCTATTAACATTCACAAATAAGCTTTATAATCTTATTCTTGGATAGCTTTTTTAATTAATAGAAAGCAATATAGAAGTAACAAAAGAAAGGTTGGTTTTGAACTAGAAAGGTTAGAAAGGCTGGTTTTGAACTGGTGCTGGAAAGCGCGTTCCATTGCAAAAGTTCAACTTTGCCACTAACTTTAAACAGATAAACAGCAAAGCCTTTTGCTTTATATTGTTTTTTGGGTTTGAATGATCTTTGTTATTAAGGAAAAATACAATAAATAAAGTGAAATCCAGGACTAGAAAGACAAATCAAGGCCCTGAGATGTGTGGAGGATGGAGCTGGGGGAGAGTGGACAGGCGACACACAGACCGGGGTCAGAGGTCACCCCGAATGGGCGGCCGTGCTTTACCTTGAGCTTGAGGCCTGCGGTTGGAAAGACCCTGCAATGTGAAGCGCTTTTTAGCAAGAGCGGAACGCTCAAGATTATGACTGGCGGAGGCATCGGCTAGGAGAGGAGAGGGAGAGGCAGAGGTGAGGCAGGACAGGACAGTGGCAGAAGCTCGGGGTACCTCGCACCAGCGGCAGCATCCAGCAAAGCCTTAAGGCATGAGCAGCATTTCCAACACGCGCCTTCGCCTTGACCCAGGCACCTTTCACCACTGGCCCTTGCAGGGGTTCTTACTGTGTGCCCTGTGGGCTCCTGTCTGGGCAAACTGGTTCATCTACCCCTTGAGCTTGCACCCAAAATAAAACCTTCATGCTAAGTCAATCCGAAAATCAATGACCTCTATCTGACTTCCTCGGGATGTCTTCTTCTCATGCTACTGGAAGTGCGGTTTGGAAGCAGTCAGTGCTCTGGCTGCTCAGGCCCTGCTGCAGCTGTCTCCTGCAGCCTGCTGGGAAGGGTCGTCATGCTTTAAGGCTTGGCTCTTGCCCGTTAGTAAACACTTCTCAGCTAGAGGTGATAGTACACTGTTGCCAGCGCGAGTCATTTCGTGCCTAACTAGTGAGCCGTGAAGGAGAATGCAAAGGCATGGTGAAGCCCACAGGACTAGAGAAATGCGAGACCAGGCAGCCAGCTCTGGAAATAAAGAAATAAAACCGAAAAAAAAAATCTAAGGTCTCCCTCGATTCCTGCTGCTCCAGTTGGATGATATCAATCAAGTACATCATCAAATACATCAAATGGCAAATAAAATAAGCATCAAAAGGACTGAAAACATTGAACACCCTAGAGCTGGAAAAAAAGCAAATCAGTGCAGCTCTGGAATTGTAAAATAAAATTAACAATATTTTAAAATTACTGTAAAATTTGGACCTCCCATTGAAATACAACACTTTTCTTGAAAAGTATAACTTGGCTTTCTATATGTTAAAAAAAAACCTCATACAACAACCATGAGACTTTTGGACTTCATGAGAGGGATGAAAGTGGGCACTAGCTCATCCGACGTGTACGAGGACAGCTGTATGAGGCCTTAGATGAATAAAGCTGTAGGCCAGAGTTACATCAATGGGAAAGAGAGGACCCACTGGAAACCAGCACAGTGGGTCTTGACCTGCCTTCAGCAAAATAAGCCCACAGATCCAACCAGGCTTGAAACTTGCATATTGGATATTGGTTGGGTCCTGTGAACGTTCAGATCTATAGAACAATGGTACAACGCCTTAAGAGCCATTGTGCCATTAAACTTGAGACTGAATATCGAAGTTGATGCCTGAATAGACAAAGAATAAATCATCTCGTTTACTAATTGTCTTCGTTTGGCAGCACGTTCTTCAGAATAAAGGCACTAAAGTGAGATACCAAACTGAAACACCTGACTGGCAATCAATAGTGAAAATGCCCTCTTGCTTCCTGGATTATTTGCCAGGGAGCATGATTTTAAACATCTATATTCTGCAGCATAATATTCTGAGAAAACAAACATTTTTTTTTGCACCTCATTTTTCAATTCAGCAAGTGTAAAAAGCCCATGACCCAGGGTTTTATATGGGATAACGATCTCCTTTCTTGCACTCGGGAATATCGAATACCTTAGTACAGGAGGTGTGGACAGAACTCCCCTGGTCTTTAAAGAGAGGCTGGCTGCTCCAGTTTCACTAAAGAGGGGAGAGTGTGGTGACGGGCTTTTCTTCACTGTCTTTCTGAGTTCTGTTGGTGAGCAGTGAGTGACACAGCTTAGGTGACACCTAGCCAGCTGTCTCTAAGACAGGAGTTCAAAAATAGCGGTATGTAAACACTATAAAACAAAGGCATTCAGGATGTTTGACAAATCAGGATTAATAATGTGAGGGCAGTGCGGTGGTTCTGGAGCTTAGGATCTGCGCCTGTGGCTGGAAGGTTGCTGGTTTGTATCCCGCGGCCGGCAGAGGAATCCTACTCCGTTGGGCCCCTGAGCAAGGCCCTTAACCCCAACTGCTCCAGGGGGGCTGTATAAATGGCTGACCCTGCGCTCTGACCCCCAGCTTCTCTCCCTGTCTGTGTGTCTCATGGAGAGCAAGCTGGGGTCTGTGAAAAGACAAATTCCTAATACAAGAATTTGTAGATGTAGATTGTATATATATATTATCTAATATATATATAATTTCTTGCCAGTCTTGTCTTGCCATTTTCTGACGGCACTTTCAAAAGTTATCTGGAAATCTTCTGGAGGAATGGAAAACAGGTAACAGCATCACTTCATTTTGGGACACAGTCCCGGATCATTGACTGTCAGCTTGTCGTGCTCTGCACTAGGGTCTCCCGGCCAATCCATACTGCGGGTTCTGTTCTGGTTCTGTGAGTGTGCTGTATCGGCAGGCCCTACCTCTCTTCTGCCTGGTTCCGGGACTGGCGAGACCACTCCTCCGGCTCACACTTTCCGGGCTGGAGGACTCCGACTTAACGCTGTCCTGCTTGAAAGCCGATTTCCTAATTTTTCTGCAAAATATTAACCGGTGAGACGCACACATTACTGATCAGTTCAACAGTCAAATTCTTTAAAAAAAATGTAAAAACTGTTCCATTATTTCTTATGGGGAAAAATTACAATCCGTTCGGGACCACAAAAAGGTCACCTCTACTTTTACCTTTTTTCACCAAAAATGACAAAATAAACAATAACAACTCACATTCATATTGCGGTTCGTCTTTTTAGTAGTAAAAACAATACTGCTTACCTAGTTATACCCAAGTACAGTACTATACAGTAACCACTTGAATTGCTTTTTGTGTAATTACATACGCACACTCACAGTTTTCATTTTCTGAACACCTTCGGGGTCCATGATAAAGTCTAAACTACAAGTTTTGCTACACGAAACGTAAGAGTGCACACAACAGCAAGCGGCACTCGGAGAAGGATGCGACCTCCCAGCTGAGGTCGCCCCCAGTCCCAGTCTGAGAACAGGACGTAGTCTGTAGACCACAGCAGCACTGGCAAAGACGCTTACTGACCAAACAATGGTTATGCACTTCTAGCTGTGGGTAGGTAAAATAGATCTGAGCTACTTTTGGAGGGGCACACATTTTTATTTGGGCAGGAATGAGTGTTTCCCGTCCACCAGTGCACAGCCCTGTGTCAATTTGCAAATAGGAAGTGATATAAAACTACCAAAAAGATTACAAGAAAGCAAAAAAAGAATGAAGAACGGCAATTTCGTATTAGCTGTGGGCCTCTTTATCACATTCCACCCAGTTTTGATGATCTACAAATTGATGTCGTGCTATAAATGTGACTTTATCTTGTCCCGAATTTTTTTTTTCCTGAGGCAGGTTTAGGGGACTTAAAGCCAGGTAGCCTCACGCTGCTGCTCCTCCCTCACCCATTAGCGGAGGGTGATGTGGACATTCAACGTGGGACGATTTCCTCGTCACTCTCCACGTTTGGTTTCAACATTTTTCTTTGCGTCGGTTCTTCGTTGTGTCGAAGCTGACTTTCGCTATTCGAAATGCGCGTAACAATTCACTTGCTTCTTAGTATCCAAATTTTCATAAAATGAACAACCGTGAAAAAGGGGGCATGTATAAAGGTGGTGTACTGTATCTCTCCCCTGGAAAAACCTGTCTGTCCGCTTGGTGTCGCTCTATTCCCACTCGACAGAAAGCGAAGCAGCCCCGAACAGACACAGCGCAGTACCTGGCGTTGGGCGTGTTCATCGGAGCGTGGTAAACATTCTCGGTGATCCTCTGGTGCAGGTGACTGGCCTCTGCCAAAGGAAACAACACCGAAGCTGACTTCCCACCTTTGTCCTGACGTTCAAGTCAGTTTCCCCACACAGAAATGACACAATCTCTCCCTCTTTAATGAAAGAAAACACAGCAGCGTGGTGCAAAAATAAAGGTCTCCGGAAAGGGCAAACTATCTGGGAGGGAGAGAGACAGATACTTGATTGTCCACCGCTGTGGAAATTTGTCTTTGCCTCTTCCATAGAATTACAAAACACAAGCAAAGCATAAGAATCACATAAAATCACAGCAGCAGTATGTGATACAGAAACAGATAAACAGATGGATATATAAATGGGGGGGTACATTTACAGACATTCATTGAGCAGTTTTACTGCAGGGGGGACATATAATTAATTTGAATTATATTTGTATTTGGTGCCCTGTACTGTCTCTCTGATGGGAGTGTTATGAATTGAGAGTGGAGTGGGTGTGTGGAGTCAGCTGTGATGTTCCTTGCCATTTTAAGAACTGCATTATGATATAATAATAATAATAATAATAATAATAATAATAATAATAATA